TTTGACCCACATGAAAGTGTCAGAAATGCATGTTTGTAACAAAGCAGAGCTAGCATGAACAATTCTTAATTATCAGTCCACTCAGTGTCTTCAGATGTAGGTTGTCCAAACGATGGCTCAGTGATCCAGATGGAGTAATGTTATCCAGTTGACTTAAAGTGTGCTATAATACAGCTATTACATTTCATGAAAGTTTACCTAAGGGCTTTATGAGCCTGTTCATTTTTCTCATTACATTGTTCTTAATTTGGTGGTTGGTTAAAAAAAGTATTTCAGTAGAGCTTTTGTACAGTATTTATAACAAATTTAGTTCATGAATGAGATGTTTAATTTCTTAAATTGCTACTTCATTAATCTATGATCTCCATCATGTGCCTTTTATGCAACTGTCACTCAAAGCACTTAGTTTTATGTATACCTATACACGTATATGTTTACACACACGTATATGTGTGATACATAATTGTTTTATCGAAAGAATAAATCTCAATTATAGCTGTGCCCTTTAAATTCTATAAATTATAGTTTTTAGTCTTCAGTTTCTTACATATATTAAAGCCTTAAATGTTACCACCTAAACCAAACCCTTAAACTCCAAACCATTTCTTTCCTTTCCTTGAACAGTAAAATGACAATAAAATCTGAGAGTAAGAAGTAGAGGTAGCATTTATTAGACCTCTTCTTATGTTCCTTAATCAGGACAGAAGCTCTTCTTTCCATTTACTAATTTACACTGTAGAAATTGATCTTCATTTTCTTTCAAAATCCTGTCCTTTCATACTGAAAATTAAATTTCTAGCCCTGTAACTATTCAAATAAAGTTCAATAATAGCTAATTTTTCTACAATTTTTTTGTATTTGTTACAGATTTTATACTCTTTATTCACATTCACCTTTGTTCTTCTCTCTGTAATAATCATTTAATATTAGTATTTTGCTTTTTCTTTTAAATATTCTCAACTTTTCATTATCCACGTTACATGACATATTTTTTCACAGTCCCTTCAAATTGTCATATTCATTACATTTTTGTATTCTGCATTATTTTTATCTCCTTTATGACTTTTCTTCTGCAAGCATCACCTAAAAGTTTTCTCTACATTTATTAAGGAGTTACATTGCTAACCCCTGTGACTATATTCTCCTGCAGGTGTATTATTTTCAATATAATGTGTGATGGAGAGCTGGGATTTCCTCAGTACTTGGATTACTTCAGTGATTGACAGGATTCACTGTTCACTGCAAACACCTTACTCAGACTCTCTTAAAAGATGGATGGTAGATTATTAGAGAGCTAAGCCCCACATAGAACATTGAGAATGCTAAAAATGCAGAGTGAGCATGTTAGGCATAAAGTGGATATACTTAACTTAATTTGAATTATCCATTTACTTATGTTTTCATAAGTCCCCTATTAGCTAATAGCAGGTTTTGATATAGTGTGTGAGAGTGATTTCCATCACTCACTCCAACAGCAATAGATCCATCACACAACTTCATAGAATACATTGTCTAAATCATAAGGCAGACTTTCAGTTATCAGCATTCTGTAGAGAGGCTTTTATCAAAGTCTACCATATCCAAGGTCATTGATGATTAATAATGGAACAAAAAGCAGAATTTGAATTTTCTAAAATCTTCTGCCAATTCACATGCCTATTTTATAAATATACCATAGAACACTTTTTCTTCTACTTCTATTTTGGCTACCACTAGTTTCTGCTCATTAAGAATATCCTGAAACCTCATATTCCATCAAGCCTTAAAGATATAACTGAAAGTGAGAGGATACTACTCTTTTACCCTCTCTCACCAATAGCCAATGCCTACACTTTATAAAGCAAACAAATGAACAAACAAAAAACTCAGAAAACAAAAAATTGCCACAAAAAAAGCTATTCATTTCTTACTGCAAGGGCCATTGATTGTTTTTTATGTACTACATTGTATTTCTATATGCTGTAGTTTCACCTCTGCACAAGACACATCATATTGTTTATTTCATTTATAATCCCAGGAAGGGAAAAGAAGGAGTCAATGGCACAGTTACGAGGCTCTGGAAAACTGGTTTGTATAATCAGTGGACAGCCAGGCTGTGAGTGTTAACCTGTAAAATCCAACAGATAAAGATCATGAAAAGGACAACCAGGTTAGAGAAGGGCCACCTTCTTTAATTGAAGCTAACAACTCATTACTGATATGATTAAGGTACCTCCCAGAAGTCATTAATAAATGTAAATGAAGATGGGAAATTCTAAATTTTAATATGAAAAGGGAGTATGTTAAAATGAGAAAAAAGGATATAATAACAGGTATAAACTCAATGATGATCATCAAAGAGCCTAGGGGAGGAAAAACAGAAGTTGAAGAACATATTAGTTCATCTCCAGCACAGGACCTAGAATGATTTTATTTAATTCTAAATAATCTGAAGTATCCCTGCAATGCATACTGTAATGGTCATTAGACTAGCATAGTTGATAGTTTTGCTCTCTTGAAATTCATTATTTCTCATAAAATGATTCTGTATTTACCAAGCAAATCTCTGCTTTGTGGGGGTGGGGTAATATATCTTAAAATTTCTCATTCTGAAAAGAAATATTCCTGACAGATTTGATGTTTTCTTAAAATATGTTTAGTGTAGCCCATTAAAAGTTAATTTTCAGGTTTACATATACGCCTCTTAAATAAATGAAGATATGTATATTTGTAGTGATCCAACCAAAGAGACCTTTTAAGTGGTAAATAATGAATGAATATGGAAAATTCAAGCTTTCTTCTCTGCTTCATCAACATTAACCCCAAACTTTGGAGCTTTAAGATCTCTAATGCCTTCATCACTTTGCATATATATTAATAAGTGTTTTATCACCTCAAAGACTATTATGAATAGCAATATAAATGATAATAATTCATTTAAATAGAAGAAAATACTAAAAAAGGGAAGAAATTGTGATTGTTCATAAAATAAACGTTGGCAAATAAAATAAAAACAAAACTCTGACTCTACAAATGTGCACAAATGTGCAAAAAGTCTAAATATGCCATCTTCTTGAAACTATCCAGAAATATCAAACACCCACAGAGATTTAGAATCTTTATAAGACTTCACATGGAAGAAAAATTGGCAAAAGGTTAAGAATGCTTCATTAAAAAAATTCATCCGTGATTCTTGCATGAAAGACAATAAAAGAGAAAAAGCTAAGAAAGTTGGATTCTCATTAACAAAATATTTATCAAAGATTGAAAATTTTTTCCTTTGCTTCTAATGTCTCTGCATTCATTAAGTGCTACTATGCTTTTCTTCTCTATTAATAGGTTTTAGGAACCATCTACTATGTGTGCTCCATGAAAAAAATATCTTACACACTGGTATTTATACAGAAACTATTAAGTTAAAAAAAAAAAAAGAACCCTGGCACATGTTCTGTAAATATTTTTCAATGAACACCTGAGTAAATTTAGTTATAGGGTTGAAACCACTATGAAAGGTCAAAAGATATATGTAAGCATAGCCTTGTACAGCAATTGCGTGAGAACATATTATCAATAAATTGTTATAGTTTTCCCATTATAATGTTTCTCTCCTTTCAACTTTTCTTAAGCTAAACTTTATTATTTGTTTATACTACTTTAAAAAATATCTTTAATTCTCTATATTTATAGTACATGGGTAAGGCATAAATTGTGGCATGAAAATGGAAGGAGACCCTCATTGTTATACAAAATTACATATAAGAGGAAGTGAGGGGAAAGGGAAAAAAACAAGAGAGAGAAATTAATTACAGTAGATGGGGTAGAGAGAGAAGATGGGAGGGGAGGGGAGAGGAGGGGGGATAGTAGAGGATAGGAAGGGCAGCAGAATACAACAGACACCAGTATGGCAGTATGTAAAAAAATGTATGGATGTATAACTGATGTGATTCTGCAATCTGTATATGGGGTAAAAATGGGAGTTCATAATCCACTTGAATCAAATGTATGAAATATGTTATGTCAAGAGCTTTGTAATGTTTTGAACAACTAATAATAAAAAATTGTGGCATAAAATAATATAACATGTTTTTTACTTTTTAAAGGAAAGATACAGAGATAATAATATATTTATGAAATTTTATAGATATCTTTATTATTTTATTCTTAACCAGCTTGATATTGGGCATAATTAGCTTCCATATTGCCATAGTTTTACCACCTGTAAATTAAGGATATTAATGATCTATTTTCCATTGCTGCTAATTGTATTAAGTGAGGTGAACTCAATGCACGTAAACCTTTTCAAAAGGAATGGCTCAAAATACAAGTTTAATAAATATTCACTATAAGAATTATTATATGTTTTTTCTTTTATAGAGTAAGGTGGATGAAGGGATTACCAGCATCCTCCAAATATTTTTATGAGCTCCTTCAGATTGGTTAATGGCACGAAACTCTAATTATAATCAGAAATCAACCTACTTTAATTTTGAGGAAAAAAATAACTTATTGGTGAGATATTCTTTGGAATACTGCATAATTATTCTATTCCCTTGAATCAAGACTTGCCTTTTCTTCAACCATTACTACCAGTAAACATTTAAGGTTATCCTGTATGTATCTTGTTTATCCCAGTGTACTTCATTTCATTACTTACTTAAATTTTCTTTTCTAACATCTAAATCCATCAAACTTCTATCAAAAACTTTGGTCTGTAGACATGCAATTTCTACAAGAAAACTCTTCTCTTCTGTCTTTTATTATTGCTAAACATAATATCTTTGAAATTCAAGGCTGAGAGAAGATTGTTCCTTTGTAGAATTATGAACTATTATAGAAAAAATAGACCTAATTACTAAGTTATTTCAAATTCTTGAAGTTACATAGTGAAAATGATTGCAGGCCTTTTGGGGGCCAGGGCTGTTCATTATTCATCTTTATCTTCCCACCCTCTAGCATTGTGCATGAAAAATTAAGTATTTAAATAGAGTTAACCAAGAAAGTTCTCATTTCTATGTTTCCTTACAGCAAAATAATATTTGATGGTTCAAAGTAAAAACATGTCAAAACTGAAACCATTCATTCATTTCTGAAACGTTCGAACATCTTCATTATGCCAACATCTAAAGGTGGAATGTAAGTTTAAAAAAGAGAAACAAAACTCTATATGGGTCACTTTATTTCCCATCATTGGCATTAATTAATTAATTAATTAATATAATATTACTCAAAAAATGTTAAAATCTATTTTCTATATCATAAGTGCTTTCAATTCTTTGTAAAAAAGGAAAGAAAGAAAAAAAGAAAGAATAAAGCAAAAACAAGGCAGAGAATAACACACTCTTGAATTCAGAATTCAGAAACTGATGGAATAACTAGATGTTGTGTACAAAAAGATGCAACTTTGTTTTTATGAGTGGTTATATTATCAGGATGGGCCTTATCAGTTATTAAGAATTCACAACATCCTTTTAAGGGCTTGTATGTCTAGGGAATATATAGAAGAGAAAAGAAAAGAAGCCTATTCTCTATGACTACTACTATTATGCCAACAATTGCAAACAACCAGGCATTTGCTAACTCATAAATGCTGCAAAAGCTCCCTAACTAGCAGTATTGTTTCTTCATGATAAATTCACTCTATCTTTCCTACATGAGCCTGGAAACATTACCAAACTCAAAAGGAACATGGGTGGAAGGATCACTCCTGAGAGCTTTCACCTATTTCCTGTTGCTAGGGAAACCACTTCCTTTGTACATGTTCAGAATAGCAGGTTCCTTTGAATCCTGCCTTTTAAGCTCTATTTTTTAAAGCAAACATATAGATATATAACCCATATTTTGCAATGTACACTACTTTATTGTTTCTTTCTTGTGCCTGGTGAAAAAGTTTTATCCAATTAAAGATAATACTCACAGATAAAACATTGTGGATAGAAAACTCCTTTTTGTTGTTTTGTATTTTTTTTTAATTTAAAATGCTTTCCAACCCACAAAAGAGTTGGTGAATCTAAGGTATCCCTGCAACGTGTGAATATATATTTTTCAATGTTGGCTGAAATAATTTACAACTTTTGAGGTCTGATAGAATTGGGATGTTTAATTACTCTCCTGTGACAGAATTATCATACATTAACTTTATTACTTGGAGTTCTCTTATTGAGATTATAGGAGAAGAATAACATTTTTTTTTCTTCTTATTTGGAAAGGATCACTGTTATAAAAGATGAAACAGCAAGAGGAGAGCAAACAGAAGTTTATTAACATGTACATTTCATATACATGGATATATCCTGGGAATGAGAAGTTATCAAAGAGGTTGCCTTGAGTTCTGGCTTGTATAGCATCTTCAACAAAGCACAATACACTTTAAAGAACTGACAAGACAAAGAAAAAGGACTATGGATCTCTGGGGTTTGCAACTTGTGGGAAGCCAAACAAAGGGCAGATAAAGGCTACTAAATAATGCTTGTTAATACAGATTCCTCCAGGCCAATAAGCCTCACAAATTGTCTTCACTGGTTAACTTGTTTTTCCTGGAATAAAGTTGGAGGGATACCTTTAGCCTTTATAAATCCATGTCCTCTCCATCTGTTTCAAGCAAATAGAGTGAGAATAGAGAGCATTTCTGCATCTGCTCCTTAGTTGTTCAGTCAAAACCTTTCATACTTTGGGACATCATATTCTGGCCCTTCACAAGACAATAATTCTCTTCTTTCAATTAAAAAAACTGTTGACAGGCCCTAAGTTCCTTGTTTAAAAATTTTATGCTAGTGTAAATCCAAAGTTTCAAAGGTAAAAGATGAGAACTGTAGTTCCATTACTATAGTGATTGCTATGTATTCTCCAGCCATTAACAACAGCATGTGTGATCACTGATCATAAATACTGGCTGATTTCATAACTTGGATAGTAAATGTTATAATTATATGTTGTAATCCACATTGTACAACTGAGAATCATAGCCCAGCCCACAGCTTTATTGCAACATTCTCATTAATGCCTTATTTATTTGGGATCTATCAAAAAATTCCTCTGAGTACCTATCATGATATTTTTAATTATACTCTTTATATCTCTTTGAAATGTTTTGGACCTGTCTTATGTGTTTTGATGTTCATGGTGCCCTGAAATCACAAAATACAAGCCACAGTTACATCACCAAAACATTGAAATGGCTTTGATTATTATGTATATAAAATAATTTTCTTCATTTGCATATATCTATTCAGGGATTATGTCTAATGCTGAAAAGGAAGTATTTTCCAAATTCAGAGATAAGTGCACTCCTATGTATTAAATTGACTTATTTAATTGACTTCTCCAATTCTGTACTGTTGTGTATATTTATTTAACTTGCCTATTGCTTTCAGTATAATAGCCATTAATATAATGCCACATTTCCTACAGAGACAATGTTATTTTATGCATAAAGAAAAATGTTAAAGTATAAGAATGTTTTCATTTCAAGGAGACCATTTCATTTATAAGGATAAGAATGCACAATACTTCATTTAATTCATTGCTTTTTTCACATTAGCAGTTCAATAAAGATATTTGTTGAATAATGTTAAGCATTAATTTTAATGTGATAAAATTATATATTTATGTTTACTGAGTATAACTTTGGGGGCATATTTAGGGGTTCAAATTCCACTTCTTAGTAATTGGTTAAAGAATTGATTTAAAATTTCCATAGTTGATAGTGATTCTATCCTTTAGATACTATATTCATTCTTATTTCACTAGTCAGTAGTATATTGGCACTTTGATTTTAAAAACAAAACAATTGCTTTGGTTCATCAGCTTTCTATTTTGCCTCTGGTAGTGTAATGTTCAATGGCTTTTGTTGGCTTATTGCACTTTAATTAGCACGATACTGTGTGCCTTTAGTAGCGTGCTGCTGTGCTACTCTTAATTGAAATCTATCTCTTGTGTCTGTGATCATTATGTCACCTTGATGCTTGAAACTGCTGTTCCCATGGAGCATATGGTAATGTTGCATTAGCCCTTTTAAGTTAGGGAGCTTGATTAGCAGGATCAGATGAGCTACTGGAAGATGCCTGGCTCCTATAGCTCTCATATCTTCAAATGAATTTTACAAACTATCTGCTTACTTTAGTATGATAAATATGTAAATACATATGTTTATAGTATTAAGTGAAATTTTACAATGGAAAATTATGTTGGATAAAAAATATTGTTTCTCAGTTTGAATTCAATGGGAAATTTTAAAAACAATGATAAAGAAATCACCTTTCCTATCTATCTTTTAACTCTAGAATAGTTGTACAATGTATTGTAAGAGATTTTTTTTATTGTAAAGGTTTTTTTCCTTTGCAGATTTTCTCTGCTCTTTTTCTAACACACTGTTTCACATTATTTTTAGTGGTTTTTCTCAGAATGCTTCTGTAGAGTGATCAAGTTAAACAATTCTTATGATTATATCAAAAGGAAAATAATCCAAGTTGGAGAACACATTTTAAAGAACACGAGGGATCTCTTAGTCAAAGTAAGAATTTTGTTTCAAAACAAGTGTGTTTAAATAGTGAAAAGGAAAAATAAGCAAACATAATGTTCTGTTTGAGCTTAGAAATGATATCACAAAGCACAGTGCTTTGACAAGCTGAGCTAAAGAAATAGCTTCAAGGTCTCTCAGAGCTCTGCCCCACATCCTTCTTTATCATGATCTTCATTTCTTGTGAAGTATAGGAAGGATCTTTCCCTGAAGTCACCACATCTATCTAAAAACTCTAGCTACCAAAAAGGAACACCATGGTTGAATCTTGCTATTGGAATTTCATTAACCAAGGAAGATTAAACTCATATCACAGAGGAAGAGACTGAAAATAAAACATCATACCTGGAGCCCAGGGGAACCGTCTGGCTCCTTGTTTGAGTTTTCATTCATATTTTGTATGACTCTCACGCTTATGCACATTAACTTGTTATGTTTTTTCTCCTTTTAATCTGTATATTGTCTGTTTATTTTATCAGACTAAATCCAGTCTTTCAGAAGGAAAGTTTAAACTGCCCTACATTATTTTAAAGATCTCATGTGCAAAATAATCATGAACCAGACCTGCGGGTTTAAATACAGCTTGCCACATAAGAATTAGATTACTAAGAAACAGATTGATGGAAGAGGATCTTCAAAGATGTGGACAAAATACTGGCAGCAAGAAGGAAAAGAATGATGCTGGCAAATAGTTTCCTCTTCAACAAAATTTAGAATGGTCAACACATACGATCCAGTGCATTCTGAAGAACCTAAGTTTGTCAGGAAATAGCTGGGCCATTCTGATGGCCCACAGGCTCCCAGTAGGTTCAGAAGGTCTGGCCCTGCAGGACTTTAGATGGTGCTTGGGGCTGCACTCAAGAGTAGGAGTTTCAGAAGGAAAACATGTAATAAAAAAAGGCTAAATGTAAATATACTTACCGCTAAATGTATTGATCTTTGATTGATATATTCATAGGTAATTTTTCTGTTGTTTATGATAATCTGTATTATGCAAATTTTCTACAATGGACAGGCATATTCTAGTCATATTTTTCTTTATTTGAGAAGTTACCATAAAAAAGAGTGACCCTTTGAGGAACAGCTCCTGCATTTCACAGATCTGTCCTTGTAATTAGGACTTGTGTGGTATATAAACAAAATACAAATACTTGCTAAAGTGTTAGTTTCAAATTTCAAATATGTGATGTTAGTTAAAAATGTATTATTCAAATTAAATCTTATGTTCCAGTTAAGTTCTTTTATTGTATGGGAAACAATATTGTATAATTTACCTGTCATGTGTATAATGCAATGGATAATTTGTGAAGATTTTAACCCTTTGAGGTTTATCCTTTTTAGCAATGATAGAAAAGATATGGGTATGTTAAACAGAGTGAGATATATATATTTTGGCATCTTATCTGAATGAAATATCTATTACATCTTTTAAAGCTGCATACATTTCTTTATAAAATTAAAGACATAATGTGTGTACATATAATCTTTATAACCAAGTATATTTGTAGGAAAAAAATTGGCTACTGGTTCTACACGTGACAGCACAATCATGATACATATTTATTAGTTTGGTAAGTGAATATAATAAAATTAAAATTTTATACAATAATATTTGGAGGTTTGTTTCTTAGAAATGAATATTCTGACCAGGCGGATATACTAAAATTAAAATATAATCTAGAAAGACATAAAAAGTTGTTCAAAGCAGATATATTATTCCTGTTTCTCTAAGTGAAACATTTCCCATTAAGAGAAATAAAATGGATTAAGTATAATTTTGTGTGATTTTTTTGTCTATTCTTTTTTAAAAAAATAATGTTAATTTGATATTTTAAAATTTTTGCGTAAATTCATACTTTATACAGTCACACATTCTCAAGTTCTAAAGTCTTAAACTTATAATAAAAATAAATTACATGCTCTTCTGAAATATTAGGTTGAGTAACATATTGTTACCTATATTTAATCATATTGTGAAATATAAATGTATTTTGTTCACCTAATTGATGAGATTGTTGAGAAGTGTTTTTGAGTAGAATGGTACATAATCTTAGGAGAGAGGAGAATATACTACACGATGAAAATGTTTATGTGATATTTCACATATAGGAAGGGAAATATCCAAATCTGGCCATACTCTCCTACACAAGGAGAGTTTGAGAAGCATTTGTAAACTTCACAGTGAAGAGGCACAGTCTCACTAAAAGATGGAGACCTAGTCATGAGACTATAAAAGACTTCCCTCTTCCATACCTTACTGTCACATTCCTTAAGGCATACAAAAGTAAAAGGGGAAAAAAAAAGCCTCATATTTGAACAGAATGATCAGGCATCACAATCAGAGAAAGATATGGAGACCCGGAATTTTAAACACATGTGCACACACCAAAACCAACAACTGTGAATTATGTCTCAAGGGCTTTAATAAGAAAAATAGAAAATATATAGGAACATATAGATAATGTAATCAGAGGGATAATGATTCTTAAAAAATAAAAAGGAAATTTTAGAAATAAAAGGCAACACTTTTGATGGACTTCCTAGTGGACAAATAATGCGGATGAGGAAAGAATCTCTGAGATTTAGGATATGTCAGTACAAACTTCCAAAACTGAAAAACAAATAAAAGACCAAAATACGGAAGAAAATTGCTCAAAACTTTGGGACAACCACAAAAATGTATCATACACATAATGGAACACCAGAAGGAAAAGAAAGAATAGAATACAAGAAATATTTAAACCAATAATGATAGAGAATTTCCCTAAATTAAAATCAGACCCCAAACCACAGATTTGGGAAGTTCAGAGAACACCAAACAGGAATATAACAAAAAATATTATTTTTTTTAAAGAAAAAGAGCAACTATACTTACAATGCTATTTTTAGACTTCAGAAAATCAAAGACAAAGGAAAAAATCTTGAAAGAAACTGGGGGGGTGAACTAAGATGAAACAAAAAGTTATAATTTTTATAATTATCCACTAAAAGATATAAATGAACATAAAGAACTTAAGGTAAGAAACTTGGACTTACAAAGTGTTTAGTTATCTAATTAAAAACAGTTAAATGGAAAACATTTAAGTATTCATTTAATGGTATTAGAAATTGAATTTAAAACTAAAAAGTTCATAGGTAAAAGTGTTAAAAAACAGAATTAAAAGTCATTACCCACATATTTAATTCACAAAAATTAGAGAAGGAAATAAATTGAAATAAAAATAAGCTAATGTCTTCATTTTCTATAAGGAGGATTTAAAGTGTTTTTATTGCAAGTAGCGAACATTGGGCTGGGGCTATAGCTCAGTGGTGGAATGCATGGCCTAACATGTGTTTGGACCTGGACCTTATCCCCTGTCCACAGGAAGACAGGGAGGCAGGAAAGAAGGAAGGAAGGGAAGATAATTAGGAAACATTAATTTTGAGATTATATTAAATCTCAGTGAATACTGAATACATGAATATGTACTTAAGGGAGAGAACTTCAAAATGGGAGAAAAGTTCCATGAAGGAAACAAAGAGCAACCAAATTTACAATAACCAAAAGTGAGATAGAAAGGGGCAGATGGGAGGAAGGGTGGGTATATTCCCTAATTTGTCCTCAGTTTGTGATTCAGGCATCAGAAGTATCATTTCTCAGTGGGGTGGGCAACTGAGAGAATTGACTGAAATTCAACATTGGTCAGTAAAGTAATCATACAGACACAAAAATTCAGAATTAAGCATAAAATGAGAAATAATGCATGAGCACCACTAACTCCCTGCATAGAGGAGGAGTAGCACACAGAAAGAGGAAAGGCTTAGAAGCACCTGAAGAATAGAGAAGGGGGTTGATCTTAACTGACCCAGAGATGATGGGCAAGTTTGTAATTGAAAAGTGATCAGGATAGGTGTCGTGATGCACACCTGTAATTTCAAGAGCTTGGCAAGATGAAACAGGAGGATCACAAGTTCAAAGTCATACTCAGCAACTTAACCAGGCCCTAAGTAACTTAATGATACCCTGTCTCAAATGAATGAATGAATGAATGAATGAATGAATGAATGAATGAATGAATGAATACATAAAAGGTTGGGGATATTGCTTGGTAGTTAAGCACTCCTGGATTCAATCCCTGGTTAAAGTAAAAAAAAAAAAAAAAGTGATCAGAAAAAGTGAAAAATGATCAGAATCTCTCAGCCTACACACAAAGACTCCAGGTATAAACAATCGGCAAGAGACCATGTGGCATGTTACAGAGGTAGGACATAGGGAGCTCACAAAGGGAATTGCCATCCTGATCCATTAGTCACCTTTTTGTGGAGTCCAATGTGCATGGACCCCTGTGACTGAAACAAATGCAGAGAGGACTGTGCCTAGGGCAATCTAGGCTGGGGCTACCACTGGAAGAGAGTTCCCTTTGTTGCTGCTAGTTCATGCAAACAGCTGGGAAGAAGCCCAAAACTGATCAGTCAGGTGCATCTGCAACCCAGGTCCATTCCTGGGAAATCCACATACATTGTGGTAGAATATGTAAGATTCACAGAGGGTTAGATCTCCAACTTTGAGAGTCAAATTTCTGGGAGATCCTCAAAACCAAGATGTCCAGCAGAGATTGGCATCCAGCCAGCAACAGAGAGTATGTATCTAATCTTATACATCTTCTTACAAAGTTCCAGTGGACAGCCAGAACTAAACCCCAGTTGCTGAAAATTCCCATGTAAAAATCAGCACATCAGTCTCTCTACAGGAGTACATCAACTTAGTTTATCTCCACAAAACTACAATTTTCAGTACTCCCCAGTGCAAACTACTGCAACATAGTAAACTGAGAGTTAACACAACCACCTTTGGTTCCAGGACACATTGATCAGGACTATGGTGAGAAACAAACAAAAAAGAATTAGATTTAATGATTTTTAGCCCTTGATCCAAAGGGTACATAACTAAAAAAGAAGTGCAAAAAATAGTACAAC